ACATTCTTTACAGATCTAATTTTGAAGAAAGGATTTCATTTTAAAAAAAGTATCTCAATCTTCAATATTGTAGTTGTAAGAGAGTCCAAAACATTTGAAAATTTCGAAAATTTATAAGATTAAATTAAAACTGAATAAGAGCCATTTTCTAAGCATTTTTTACCCTAATGAAGCAAAAAATTACGGAAAACATATTACCATTGTCTCGCGTCCAAAATGGACCGTAGATGTTCTGCGNNGGGGGGGGGGGGGAGGTTGCGTGGGGGCAGCCGAGTCCCACATCGAACTGTACTGATTTGAAAGAAGGAATAAGTATTTTATAACTCTACAATCTACCACTACTCATCATATTCGAAATACGTAGGGCAATTTTGGAAATGAAAACTGGGAAAACGCCGGGAGATGACAGTATTACTGTCGAACTTCTTAAAGAAGGTGCAGATGAATTACTCAAAGACTTTTGGCAAACTTTCAATCGTATATTAACAACGGAAGAACTCAATGGTTTACAGGTACCGTAATACTCATTTACTTAAAAGGCAATAGAGACGATCTTACTATCGGTCAATTAGTCTTACCTCGAACATGTATGAACTCTTCTCTAAAATCCTGACAGGGAGAATGACCACAGTACTGGATGAAGAAGTAGGACTTTTAACATCCTTCAGCACTACAGATCACCTGTAAGCGATCAATCAGATCATCAGAACAACGAATTTATTATAAAATTGTACATAGCATTTGTTGAATTAACGAAATTCTTTGACGGTGTTGAGCACCCATTTACACTTCAAACCCTCAAGAATTAAGGAGTCCCCAATAAATATATTAAAATTTTAAAATAACTATATGCCCACAGCCAAGTACAAGTAAGAACACACCACGCAGGAGAAGTATTCCGAAATAAGAGAGGATATTTCCCCTAAATTATTTAACACGAGGAGGACGACACCCGTCATTTTGACGGGTGCCCTACTTTTTATCTAAAATTTTTAAAAATGTACGTTCTTTGTAAATTCAGCTCGTTGTGGCTTAAAATATTTAAGCATATTCTACACATTTAAAGAAAATAGCCATGTGCACTGAAATTTTAACTAAGATATTTACAAAGACTACTAAAAGGACGAAGACCCGCCATTTTGACGGGTATTACGCTTTTGACCTCCTGTCAGCTAAAAGTAAATAAAACCGTTGTGATTCTTAGTACATTGTATAAAACTAATTATTGATGAAAACGGCTTCACAAAACTTCCAGAGACTATATTTTTATAACGAAACAATACGTGTCATTGACATACTTGATCAAATAAGCCGCTTGTATACTATGAAATTCGGGTGTAAACGGTGGTCAGTGCACGTATTTTTCAGTGATCTCGACATAGTGATCATCAATGCATGTGTATTATACAGGGAGGTAACGGGAGGAAAATATCTCGTAGAGATTTCATTTTCTAATTATTAGAAGAACTAGCATCTGACTATAACAAAAAGAAAGCAAAATCTTCCCCAGCAATCAGCGCTCTTCAGAATAGTGACATGCGCAAGACCTTGCAAATAGGAGGATGAAGAGGCAACAACAAGTTCAGGAACAAGCACTGCACTACATATGTGGCTCTGTGCTGTAAACACCTTTTATTTTGCTTTGGAGGGGAAGCTTCTGGAGGGTTTGAGTAATTAAAATTTACCGAGTATCAAGAACTTCACAAGATACAATTAAAACCTTTCAGTAATGTTAAATATTAATGTAATCCACTGTCACAGGTATCCATGATTACGTACGTAAGAAAAGTCTTATCTCAACAGTAAATTTCTTTAACAATACAGAAGTTGAATTTAAAATACGAAATATTACATTGATGGTTATGCTAAAATCACGCGTAACCGTCAAAATGACGGTTCGTCCAACGAAGTAAAAAGGAAATCCCCGCCATCCCAGAGTTAACTGTCTGCTTTAAATGAGTTTCTGTAAAATAAATTGGTCAAAACAAGCAGGTGCAAATGTCAACGTTAGCAAACCTCCGCCTTGCAGGCGACATTGCTCAATTTGCAACATCGCCTGAAATTCCAAAAGAAATGCTATGCGATTACAACGAAAAGTGCACTGACATCGGTTTACAAAAGAACGAATCGAAAACTAAAGTAATGAGTAACAGCGAACCCAAATTAATAATGGTGAACGATAGTAACATAGATTACGTCCAAGAATATGTTTACCTGGACCAGCTAGTATCATTTAAAAATGAGGAGACAAGGCAGTTAGAATAAGACTTAAATTATCGTACAGACAATTTTGCAGCCTCTCCTTCATACTATTAAAAAAGAAGATAAACCTCAAATCAAAAAGGTATTAATGGACATGTGCGCCTTGCCTGTATTGCTTAATAACTACTACTACTACTACTACTACTACTACTACTACATACTACTACTACTCGAGTCCATGAAGCATTGGGCGTGTTGTTCCAATCGCTCTGCCATTTTTTAAAGATTTTTCGGACGTCTCTTTTGTTGTGTTATCCCCTCTTGCGTTGATGTTATACCATTCTTTTCAGAGCCAATGTGTGTACTGGCATAAGTCCTGCTAAGCCAATGCTGCCTCTGCAGACACTGTTCTGTACGCAGATACATTCGCAAGCGCCATTTTTTCTTTGAGTCCTGATTAGTATTGTCTTATTATATTTACTCTGTGCTGCTTCTTCTGCCCATATAGGTGCAGCATAGAGTATATATTGCTGCATTACAGAGGTCAGTATTTTCTCTTTCCCTGGCTGGGGCTCGTATATATTGCATCAATCTGCTGAGTGCGCCAGTTGTCCTTCCTGCCTTTTTGGTTACCATATTAAAGTGGTGTGCAAAAGTGAGTCTCTATCTATTACCACCTAGATAATTGATTGCTTTGGACCGTTTTCACTACCGTGTCTTGAATTTTGAAAAGGAGCAGGTTTGGGGTCTTCGTTTTCGTGGCAGAAGGACGGCTCCGTTTTGTGCTGTGCCAGGGTTAGAGAGTTTTGTGTCAGCCATGCGTTCACTTTATACGCAGGGTTGCGTTTCCGTTGAACGTGAGTTCTTCAGTCGTCTTTCCGGTGACTACTCAATAGCTAGGTCGTCTGCGAACGCGACGAGTGTTGTTTCTTCGGGGGTTGTTTGTCGGAGGACTTCGTCAAAGAGTATGTTCCACAGTGTTGACCCAGAACTGAACCTGTGGGACTCTGCTGTCGTTTCTATTTCTTTTGCCCTTTACAACAGTAATTACTCTTTGGGTTAAGTGCGCAACCAATGATGTTAATAAAGTAGCGTGCTATGCCTCTTTCCTCCAACTCCCTCATTATTTGCGTACCAAGACGCACTGTTGAATGCATTTTTTACATCCAAGAGTATTAATGGCACTCAGCAGGCCTTGTCGTTAGCCTTTTCTCGCTGTACTGAGAACACTGTCAATAGCCTCGTGCGTCGATTTTTGTTTTCTAAAGCCATACTGGTCTGTCGCTGAAGTTTCCTGTTCTATAAATTTCCTCTGTTAATCTCCCTAGTACGACGTGCTCGTACAGTTTGCGAGAGTATCCAGGCAGGCATATGGGTCTGTAGCTTTTGAGCCCAGGTTAAGGTATTAATAGAACTCTGGCCTTTTTCAGGTGCGTGAGGAAGGTACTCGCTTTATAATGTTCCTAGGGTAAGCTTCGTGTACTCCCAGTCCACGTCAACCAGCATTTTCACTGCTTCGGCGGTATTCCATCTGGTCCTGGTGTTTGCATTATTTTTAATTTCTTTGCGGCGGTTTCGGAGCTCGATCTCTGTCAGGGCTGGAATTTCTTTGTTGTCCGTTTCGACGTTCCATATTTTCTTGGTGTGCGTTGGAAAGAGACTGTTGATGATATCCAATCTTTCTTTCCAAAGGCAAATGTACTCTGGGCTCGTTTACTCGCAATGTTTGATAGCTATTCTATAGCATCGCCCCACACATTCGTTTCAACATTATGGCATAGTTGGAGCCAGCACTTACGTTTTTCTAGAGCAATTCTTTTGCGAGGTCTTTTTTAAGTTTTATAGGCACTATCAGGTCTCGGTTCGCTCGGGGAATTTGTTATTTTCTGCCTTTGATGTTTCCTCTTGCAGGCAAGGACTTCCTTTCTTAGTGCGCAAGAGTTCAGGTTCCCACCATGGAGGATCCTATTTGTTGGCTCTTGGAACGATCGTGGAGGTTTTGCATGCTTTCTGTAGACGTTTCATGCATTCTGTGGGTGTATAGGTGGGCCTTTCGGGTACACTGTCTTCTAGAGCACGTCGCAATATATTTTGTCAAGTTTGGTAGCCGAGAGGGGATACTCCGCGGTTCTGTAGTTTTCAGTGTTTTCCGATATTTTGAAAGTTATATAACCTAAGTCGCTAGCTGTTCTTCATCTAGGATTTTCCAGTCTGAAGTGCGGTTTGTTACGTTGTCAGTAGAAAATGATATATCGATGAATGATGTTTGCGTGCCTATTACAAATGTCGGTTGTGTTTCGTGTTCATAACCGTTAGATTAAGTGCTGCTGCCCAATCTGTAATCATTTTTCCCCGAGGGTTTCTTTTGGGATTCTCAGTCCGGACTTAGCGTTGAAGTCGCCAGCCACTATTATATTGGTGCCTTTCTTCGGAGTTCTAATTGAGCGCGTCCAGAAATTCAGAAAATACCTCTATAAGTGTGTTTGGCGAGAAATAACAACTGCAAATATACAGCCCTTCCACGTTGACCCAAAAAATCCCTCACCATTTCCATACTCCGTGACTCTAATCGAGGGGTTTGTTACAATGATTCCCGAGTCTGAGTTCCGTCAAGGTACCACCCTTTATTTTGTTGCCATATTTCTGTGGGGCTCGCTTATGAGTATTAGATCGAATTTTAATCTGCTTATCGCTTTCATTAATAGTCGTGGGCAGTCTACATCTGTTGACGTTTATTTGTAGAACGTTAATCATGGTTGAGTGTTTCTTGCCTGTCGAGAGCTTTCCCGAATGGCCGGCTACTCAGTGGCTGCCCTGTGGTGCTTCTTGCAAAGAGGACAATAGGCTGGGTTCTTGCACGCATTAGCTATATGTCCCTCGTGTGCGCAGTTGTAGCATTTGTTTCTTCTGTCTTCGCCGCGGCAGCTTGTTGCAATATGTCCATAACTCCAGCAGCGATGGCACCTCCGGACATCCAATCTTCTGCTAACAGAACAGTACACCATTCCTACCTTTAATCTTCCTATTTGACAGAGGTGCTCTGCAGTTGCTTCGTTTGCTTCAACCGTGGCCGATTGAGTCTCACCATATGCCGGTCTCATGGATCGGACAGTTACGTCTTCATTTCCTGTCTCCGCGCGCAGTCTTCCTTGGAGTTCCTTAGCTGTTGTTATTGCATCGAGTTGCTTAACATGTAGTATTGTTCTGCGATGATCCACGATACGGGCATTTGTCCTCTCAAGTTGCTCCGTTATAATGCTTTTGACTTCCATTTCACCTTCTTTCAATAAAAGGGCTACGTCACCTGATTTAGTTTTTCTGACGGAGTTCACTTTGTCTAGAGCTCCTGCCACTTGCAGTTTATTTTTACTGTCCGTCAAAACTCCGCATACGTCTTCCCTTTGTCTTCGCATGATACCACCAATCCAATGGAAAGTTCTTTTGGGTCTTTCCTTTTCAGCTATCTCTTGTTCGGTGCCGGTTGGCGTTGAGGAGTACACACCTGGATGGATATATTTGTATTTGCAAAGATACATTCCAATGATTTCCGCAACTCCAGAGACCGTTGCGCATTGGCATGTGCTATCATTAGGTTTGACCTATTTTGGTATATTGCCAGTTCTTTCAGTAGAGTAGTGGCGTTGTAAAGACTTTCGCTGGGCTCATTACTGAGCTCATTGTCTTTTCCGGGTTCCACTGTAATTTAGTACACCATCCTGGTCTTAGTTCTTTTCCATCTCCCTGTTTAACTCTGATGCTCTGTTCTATGCGCTTAATTTGTCCGGTGCTGGAGCCAACATACTACTACTACTATTACTACTACTACTACTACTACTACTACTACTACTACTACTACTGCTGCTACTGCCACTGCTACTGCTACTGCTACTACTACTGCTACTACTACTATTATTATTATTATTATTATTATTATTATTATTATTATTATTATTATTATTACATTCCATTAGAGGACAAGGCCTTCTTTTTGAAAGGTAGTGGTGGTGGTCCTAATGTATTGACTACCCTGAGTGACACTGTCTCTCACTCATCCTTATGGCATCTGATCTAAATTCATTACACCGGGGGATTTTAGTGTCAATAATTCTTACTGCAGTCCACAATAGTAAGAATATTTGATAGAATTATTTTAGAAGCTATCACAAAATGCTCTAGCCACTAGTAAATGTTTCATGAAATTTGTCCTACTCTCGTCATACGTCAGACTACAATATTTCGTGCATGATGGGTGACTTACGGGTGAAATAGATATCCAAAGTTTTGTTTTTAGAAACTTCGTAAACAAAGATTCAAGACAAAACTGACATAGGCTTACGTAATATTTGAAGAAACTCCTTTACGAATTATCGAAATTTTTTTTCACAAGATGGGAAAAAATCTTGAAGCGGCTGCTTTAGAAAATTATTCTGGAAATCATACATATAACTTTAATTATGTAACATATACAGCCGCCAACAACCTCAACCACGAACTGATAGAACAATGGGATTTTATTTTTACTGCTTATATGCAGTAGTGCCCCGGCTCTTCTGCTTGTTGGAAGCGAGCACCAAAAACGTATTAAAACGCTCTAGAGAGCCGGTATCATCAACACACTGGTTGTATTGATATTGGAACTCCAAGACGTCTAACTGATGTCAAGTGTGTTTGTGTTTCAGGCGAGGAGAGCCATAGACGCTGCCTCCTACTTCAGTTCGCGCGTGCAGATCCACTCGCTCGTTCAGCGCGCCTCCGCTTGGATGCCACGTAAGTGACGTCACGCCCACTGCCAATGTGCGTGTGCTGCGTAGGGTGCGTTCACTTCGATTGCTATCCACGACGTCGGTCGACTGTGGAAAACGAGAGCCTCGGTTTTTTGCTGATGTCTCTCTTCCAGCTGCATTTCGAGTCTATGTGCTTCTGAGGAGGCATTTTCTTTCTTTATTCTTCCTCTCCTTTCCCTCCTTTATTTTTTTCAAAGAGTCTGCCATTGTAAAGTTATTAATTATGTTTAACAAAGTATTTTATGACAGCTGCCTTTCTTTATTCGCTTAAGTCTTCCATTTTCTCTCCCTTCTTTTCTTTCTTCTTGATTTGAAGACTGCTTTATATTACATTACAAAATGCATTATTTTTCAGATATGTAATTACTTAACAGCATTTGAAACGCAAGGTGACTTTCTTTCTTTTCTATTTATTTCTTGTTTATTTAGTTATTTCCTTCCTTTCATTACTTTTATGCATTGCGTACTGCCATTGCAAAGTTAGTTGCTCCTCTGTAAAAGGGCTGTCGATCCCTGAGACAAGTGCCGCCTAGATGTTGGTTAATGCAAAATTCGAGAGGAAAGTAATTTTAATGGCTCGATAAATACATAATCAAATAACGTTTATCAGAGTAATATGGTTTTAGTTGTGTTCCATTTTTAAGGTATTAAATGTTCGTTATATTCAACTAAAGCGTGTTAAAATAGAAAACTAAAATGATTATTGAACAAGAAAGAGACTAATTCTTGAGTAGGATTTTGTAATTACAATGAAATATTGGTAAACATTGACATGGAGCAGAACTTCAATTTTTCAAAGAGTTTTCACGAAGTTTCGAGTAAAAGAGTGAAAAGGTAGGAGTAAGGGGAGTAAGGGGTATAAATAAGGAGTAAGGGGTATAAATTAATTCCTGAATATTTTATGTGGAGTAAACCATTTGACTCGGTGTCATGTCACACAATTAAGAAATAGATAATTTAATTTACAGTAATGATGAACATGCCAAGTCCCTTATGCCCTCTGAAAGTTGACTTCTCGGCCACTGCGTCAAGGACACCGAGAGGCCGCCTAGCCCCAGTCCTCCCAAGCGAACGGAGGTGATCGCAGCCACGTTGCGCCGCAGAGTCCGCAGGGAGTGAACTGAACACGAGGTTGGTGGGTTAGTCGGTTCCATCGTAGATTGTCCTGTAGTCTTGGGGGAACGAAGTCTCGTTAAAAATGACTTGCGCGTTGCATAACGTTAATATCTTCAAAAAACAATAATATTATTATTATTTATAATTAATATTATTTATTGTTATTAATAATAAAATAATAATAGTATGTCCCGTGGTAATTTAGAAATTAAATTGTGATGCAATAGAATGACACAAGCTTTTCCGTACTAGTATTCTATTTCCTTTGGTCTCGGCTAGCTAATCGAAATTTCCACATACTCTTGCCTGCTGCCAACTATCACCATTCAAAGTACTTTTTTAAAAAAATTGAATAAAACATTTTAAAAATGGGAGTTACAATCTGAATAGATATCCCCTTTTTTCTCGGATCCCCAAAAGCATTCGTGCATAATTTAAATGAAATTACTCCATGTTTCCAAGTTAGCTGACACACACATTCAAATTTATACACTCATTTTGTATTTTATATAGTTAAAATTCTATTTTGCTGATTTACATTACAGTCGATTTGCGGTACATGACTCCTGGGAATCATTACTACTGAATTATTGAATTGCTACGTCAACTGGAATAAGGAATGCACGACTTCACTGAAAACATAAAGGTCAATATGCTGCGTGTAATAGAACTTAACAGGACAATACCTTGATAGCAAATGCGAAATGACAATGATTCACGACTGTGATATGAAAAAAAGCCTTTGGATTATCTTCATTCTTGTACTGTTTTCAGATTCGATTATTAAAATATTAGTACTGGAAGGTATACATTTTATCGCGATAAAATAAGATGAGGTTCTAACAGACCTTCTAACTTTGTAAAGTGTATAAATACAATAAAAAATAATTCTAGATACAAAAGATCTTAAAGAGCTTAAGAACGCAGATCTCAAAACCTTCCAAAAATGTATGAAACCATTTCATCAATTGGTCTTAATTTTTGCGCTACAAAGGTTTCCTGTAGCATCACCATCTGTCGGTAATTTGTTGTACTTTTCGTGCACTTTAGTTACTACTCTGCCGGCTGCTTCTTGTAGCACCAGAGCAACACAGTTGGACGCTGGAACGGATGTGGACGAAGCTGAAGGGCGCGAAGGGCGTGGCAGCCGTGCCCCAAGCTCCGGCTCTCGTTCGCCCCTTCGGCGCTCTCCACAGCACATGAAGAGTGAATGGTTATGCTTGTGTTAAGTTAAGTTAAGAAATGTGTTAGAAATAGTAACTTTTCTACTCACATTGTATAATTTTCGAATTAGATGGCTGCACCTCGTTGCATACTGATAGTCGTTACTACACAGATTTATTATAGCACTGGTGTGTGTCCAATCACCGAGAAGTTTAGAAGATCAGATGTAATCAATCACTGGTCATGTTCTGTTAAATATTTCGTTGGATTGTTTAAATTGAGCCGCGACAACCCACGAGCAACTCTCAGCAAATATGCCCGGCAATACGCCAATCACTGTTTCCCAAACCACTAAGAAAATTTCAACTGATAAGATATCAGAACATAAACTGAACCTTGATGGCATTTCTGTTATAAATTGAATCCTTCTTTGACTCGTGTACTGCTTGTTTGAAGTCGGCTTGCTTAACCTTAAACAGAAACTCTTAAGAGATCTAAATGAATGTTCCTTTCGTGGCGTTGATTGAACACTGCATGCACGCTGCCACATAAAAAGTGAAAGTTCAACTTAAAATAGTTATCATTTGTCGTGAAAGAGTACTGTTTGAAACTTGATTTAGTGAGTATGTAATGCAGCGTATGAAGTTTACTTTCGGTCCTCGCTCGAAAAAGGTAATATCACTTCACATAAATCAATAAATAAATAAATAAATAAATAATAAATAAATAAAATAAATAAATAAATAAATAAATAAATAAATAAATAAATAAATAAATAAATAAATAATAAATAAATAAATAAAAAATAAATAATAAATAAAATAAATAAAAAATAAATAAATAAATAAATAAATAAAAAAAAATAAATAAATAAATAAATAAATAAATAAATAAATAAATAAATAAATAAATAATAAATAAATAAATAAATAAATAAATAAATAAATAAATAAATAAATAAAATAAATAAATATAAATAAATAAATAAATAATAATAAATATAATAAAATAAATAAATAAATAAATAAATAAATAAATAAATAAATAAATAAATAATCTTTATTGATGGCCAGGCTCAGGCCATTTAGCTTGCTCTTCGGCCTGACCATTATAAAAAAATTCATAGAATAGTTAATGAAAAGAAGGTCATTCAAAAAAATACGTACGCATTTTGGATGAGGGGGTTTTTCACATTGAAGACAGGAATGTAAACCAGGGTGGAAGGAGTAGATAGAAAAAGGAATACTCTCACAGCATTGATAAAATGGTATTTATGACTGAGATGAAATTAATTTATTTATTTTAAGTTAGAGATGTGTTAAAGTTAATGATAAATATATTACAACGCTATTAGAATTTATTCAAATTTAGATAAATTATACTTTCTGACTCAGCAAATTAGGTACAGAAAGGATTGGACGGATCTTAAAAAAGTCAGTAAAATGTTATTAGGTACTACTAAATGTTTCCCA